GGCAAATGTCTGATTTTGAGATGTCAATAACACATTTACACTAAATCTTTTACAAAGACTTTGTTCGCTGTTCGTATAATGCAAAGATCTGTCCAACCGTAATATACATGACATTTCCTTGTATAACAAGAAATTTCCTAGTATTACACAAAAATTTTCTTTGCATTACCATGATTTTTCTTTGCATTTCAAAGAAAATTTGGCTTCGTATTACGGTTGCACAAAAATCTTTGTAATACAAGAATTTTTTTTTGTAAGAATTTAAGAGTGTACTAGCGCCTAATTTTTGAAAAGTTATCACCACCATAAATGTGCCATGCGTGCCGTTCTTTCCAAAATAATCACCACTCGAAATTTCTCTTGTTTATATAGTTTTTGATGGTGAGGGGTTGTGCACATGCGTGAACTAGGGGTTCTTGTAATGCCCATGAGTACAAGGAAATGGATTTATTCAGTTTGCATGTACGCCGTGCCATCAACATGTTGGGGTGCACTTTTGATGAGAAAAATTCTGAAGGTATCTCATACCAACTCTGATTTAATTTGAAAGTGTTGTAACACATGGACTTTTAGTTAAGCTATACCTATTGCGGTTTCTCTGATGGCATGTTGTTTAAGTTCATGCGGTGTTTCACGGCACCTGTGAGGGCCTGGACGGTTGGTGACGCGCCTAAAAGTGGCGAAGTACTGTGCCGTGGTCGGGGCAACTGCGCCCTGGCACCACCGGGCGCCCAGAGAGGCAAGGGAGGGAGGCGGTGGCATACAGCAGTTTCGTTCAAAATCTGTCCGGTCGTCCACCGCTGCTATCTAACAAGCATTACGACGCGTGTGCAGGTCTTCACTTAGCAAAGGTTTCCGAATGCCTACCCTGGACTCACCACGAGGAGGTGCTTGCACGTCGAGTTTCGCCCTCCCACCCACCCATCCGGGTGGGAGTCATATCCTGATGATTTGCCTTAAAAAGTTGTTGTGTTCAGGGATAAATACTGTTGGTTTAATTTTTTTTTTTTTTTTTAAAAGTCATGAGAAAATTTGTAGGTGAAGATGAAAAACATGGTTTGGGTCAAAAACCCATGATAAAGTTAAAGAGACATTGTGTTCAACTCTGGCTTCAAATTTCCTTGAAGGATGAAAGCACAAAAGTATGTTGGGGAATCCTCATATTTTGCTCAGCAAGCCTTCCAAAAATATTATTTAATGTCAACATTTAAGATGAAAAGGGGAGAAACTTTGACATTTTGAAAAATGTTTACTTTTAATACTTCTGGAGGGCTTGCTATGCAAAATTTTAGTATTCCCCAGCGTACGTTTGTGCTTTCATCCTTAAAGGAAATTTTAAGCCAGTGTTAACCACTGTGTCTCTTTAAATTCTTCATGAGTTTTTGACCCAAACCATGTTTTTCATCTTCACCAACAAATTTTCTCATTAACATGTTGTATTTTTTAAATGTATGAAACCAGCAGTATTGAGACCATAAAGCGGCAAATTTCTACCCCCAATCGTTTTCGAGATCACGTTTTCACTTTACGATAGCCTTGAGCAAGTCATCAGGATATGACTCCCACCCGGATGGGTGGGTGGGAGGGCGAAACTCGACGTGCAAGCACCTCCTCGTGGTGAGTCCTGGGTAGGCATTCGGAAACCTTTGCTGAGTAAAGACCTGCACACGCGTCGTAATGCTTGTTAGATAGCAGCGGTGGACGACGGCCAAGAAGCAGGAAAAACACATTTTTGCATGAATCGGCTGGTAGCCCAATGAAGATGATGTCCGATCGCAAAATGTAAGTCATTTCTAGAATCAGCATAAAAAAACCAAACTTTTGAAACGATGTTGAAATCGAAAAATGTCGAATGACGACGGCCTCTAACTCACAAGTGCCTACCTTCTCTCCATCCCTACGTATATTTCTCCTCATTTTTGAAAACTGAGAGAACAGACTTTCTTTTTCTTGGGGAGCTGCTCTTAAGATGGCACACACCAAATGTAAAATGCAACAAACAAATTTTGTCCTCAAATTATTAGAAAATACATGATAAATGCATGAGAAACCGTGAGAAACACACAAACTATCATACTGAAACGTACAAAGACAGATAGATTCTACAACCGTATCAAATCAATTTTCTGCTTGTTTTAGAAATTGTCAGCCAGAGATTTCCTAATGGTTCTGTCGTCAGCCACGAGCTCAGAAGATTGTTCGACCGATTTGCTGAAGACTATGTCCAGGCGATGATTATTGACCCTGACGGTGGCAACTCCATTCTGCACGGAGATTGTCACGTTAACAATAGCATGTGGCGGTTTGATAAGGTAAGTTGCTCATAACGTCAGATATCTGCACCTAAGAAACGCTGCCAACTCAATTGGGCTTGCCAGTCCGGGAGAACGGTCCAAAACGACCAAGTAAAACCTCATGCATTTTGTTGTCGATGCGCCCTAACGAGAGAGTCCGATCTGCTTTGCTGCCTAACCAAAAAAGTTCGATCTGTTTTTTTGGCGATGAAGAGTCACGCATCTTTGGAGGGCTCTAACTCCTCGGATATTTTGAATATACGGAAAATAAAAAGACTTGCTTGTCACCCTGTCCTTTACGAATGTGTACGTACACCCTAAAAATACACCTTTCTCCTCTCAAGCTTCAAGATATCATAGAGTTTATGCGGAGCTGTCGAGGAGCGCCGAAAGCAGATCGAACTCTTTTGGTTTGGCAGCGAAGCAGACCAAACTCTTTTGGTTCGGAAGCAAAGCAAAGCAGATCGAACTCTTTTGGTTCAGGGTTCAGTAGCAAAGAGATCGGACTCGTTCGTTTGGGCGCATCGTTGTGCCTTAACATGTAGAACTGTAAGCAGCCGTTTTATGTACAGGTTTTATGCTTAATTACGTACACAATGTACACAAATATTCAAAATTGTATATAACTATTCAGAAATTGCATGTATGAAATTGGGAATAATTTAATTACTAGTTCTGCATCCTTTTGGAGGCACAGGAAATTGCATTACAACCTTGGGTGTAAGTTAAGGGAACCTACGACGGTGTGTGATCATGGGCTAGCCACTAAATTCTAAAATATAGTTCCGGCCTTCACGTTTGACAATATTGATGTTTTACCATGTGTTGTACGCTGTGTTTTAGTGTGGTCCCACGCCCCCTCTCGCTAACTGTCGCCGGGACAAATAGCCAGGGTACTCGCTATTAATATACGACTTTGCTGTACACACAAGTATCATTATGTTTAATAGTAATCTTAATAACATTTATGATGTCATAACCGTTGGTGTCCAAAGTAACAAGTAGCCATAAGTGGCTTTGTAAATATATTTTTTTTTTACTCAAAATAGAGGATAGTTTCTAGTTTTCAAAATTCAGTAGATCCCCTATGTATGTATTTAGTTTTTTTAGCCACTTATTATGAATGATCTTTAGTTTAGTAAAACCCCTGTGTCAATCTTTAGTCCTTGATGATCTGAAAGAAAGAAGCCATTGACCAGTTTTTTATTACCACTTTCTCCGGAGAAATCCTGCGCGTTAGCTGTAAAAGAAGATATCCTATGAAAATAGAAGTACACACTTGAGACATCCTTAAAGTTAAGTT